GTGGGTATGAAGTCCCTAAGAGCATTTGCATTATTTGGAGCTGGACTTTCAGGGTTTCTGAGTTTTGCATCAATAGCATCTGCGGATGAGGCTGAACACGGGTTAGAGTGTCCAAGCTATCCTTGGCCACACAAAGGGATTCTAAGTTCATATGACCACTCTTCGTGAGTATATTTCTCCATCCTTTCCAGTAGAAACATGCTTAAGCCCACAATTTAACTCAACTTAGAAAAGCCTTAATGGTTATTACATCCATTAAGCTATCTTATGCCCAAGCTATCCCTGGTCTGACAAAGGGATTCAAAGTTCATATGCCATGGTACCCTGAGCATGGTTTTTTTTCTTTTTTTTCGCTTATAAAATGTAATTAAGAGCACAATTTAACTTCACTTGGAAGAAGCCTAGTGGCTGTTACACCATTTAGCTTATATACACCTAAGGTTTTCCCATGATCTAAAGACTTCATTTTGACCGTAATGCTGGTTCCTACTGTTTTGGGTTTTATACGTGTGTGTGTGTGTGTGTGAGCATGTTATCATAAATTTGTAGCGGTAAAATATCCTGATTTTAATTTTTTTTCTTCATGTGTTATTAGTAGAAAGAAAAAAATTTGTTAATATGTAACTTCTACTTTCTTCCTAGTCTCTGGTAGTGGCTGTGTATGCACAAAAAAATCACCTTGATAATTTAGGACATTATCATATGAACTTGTTAGGATATTGCAATAAAATGCAACTTCTGTTTAAACAAGATCAATTTTTCGTGAGCAGCATTCGTCGTGGTCAGCAGGTTTACCAGCAAGTATGTGCATCTTGCCATTCCATGTCCCTGATTTCATACCGTGATTTGGTGGGTGTTGCATATACAGAAGAGGAGACCAAGGCTATGGCGGCAGAGATTGAGGTGGTTGATGGACCTAATGATGAGGGTGAGATGTTTACTCGTCCGGGTAAACTCAGTGACCGTTTTCCTCAGCCATATGCGAATGAACAAGCAGCTAGATTTGCTAATGGAGGAGCATATCCTCCAGATTTAAGTCTTATTACAAAAGTAATACCTACCTTCTTGTTTAGGTATTTTTTGGAAGGTGTAATGGTCTATTATAGAAATATCTTACACTTTGTTTTCTTCAGGCTCGTCACAATGGTCAAAACTATGTGTTTGCTCTTTTAACTGGTTATCGTGATCCTCCTGCTGGTGTTTCGGTATTTTCTATTCTACTCAAGTTTCTTTTACAACGCAAGTTTTACATAGAACATGTTATTGTTCTTTATATAGCTGAGAGAAAAGTATGAACCACAATCTTATATAAGTTACTCAGAAGTTCTTTGTCTAATAATATAGTGAATGGATGCGTTGCTGATTGACAACATTGGTATAGAAAAAAAAAATACTTGATTGATTGCGAACTTTGTTTAAGAAAAAACTTTGTTGTGATGCATTATGCATCTGGTTCTCCTCTTCACTCGTAGAAGTCTTTTTTTATTGGTGGAAAAGTCCGTTTTCTCTGCTGGAAGGAGCTATTAATAGGTGTTTGCAAAGTTTGCTATTTATCATTCTTCTTTTTTAAATTTCTCAGTTAAGACTGTGAAATGCTTGTAAATCCATCTTCTTCTTCAAAAGGAAGAGTCTTTTTTTGGTCATTCTTGATGTTATGGACCATGTTCTTTTACAGGCATATCTGTCTTTTGTTGAAATGATGCTTTATCATGAAGTTTATTTGTCCATGTTCAAAGTTACAGATATCTTGTTTTCATTCCGCTTCAATAAAAGATTATTATGCTCTGGTGTACTTGATGATTTTGGTTTCCTCATTTAACCCAAACATGTTTTCAAAATGTTACTGTAGATCCGAGAGGGTTTGCACTACAATCCTTACTTTCCTGGGGGAGCTATTGCCATGCCAAAGATGCTCATTGATGGTGCTGTTGAGTATGAAGATGGTACCCCTGCAACAGAAGCTCAGGTTGGTTTCTTTGTTATAATTGTTGTCAGGTTTCAGAGTAGGCATTAGCTGCAAGATTGGAATATACTTTTTATCAGGTAATTTCGTAATTTAAATGTTACTGATTGTGTTGCAGATGGGAAAAGATGTTGTGTCGTTTTTGTCATGGGCTGCAGAACCAGAAATGGAAGAGAGGAAACTGGTATCTTTGCTTAAAAACATGTTTTCAGCTCCTTAAGCCCTTAAGATTTAACTGTAGCCAACAACATGTGCTTTCTGATGCAGATGGGTTTTAAGTGGATATTTGTACTCTCCTTGGCGTTGCTTCAAGCTGCATATTACCGGCGTTTGAAGTGGTCTGTTCTCAAGTCTCGCAAGCTGGTTCTTGATGTTGTCAATTAGCTTCTATCGGGCTTCTCATTCCTATTTTTTGAGGACTTTGGCTGGCAATAATTGCTTGGTAAACTAGGTTTTATTTTTTGCTGTGATTGGTTGTTCTATTACAATGGTGATGGAGTGACCCAAAGAGTCCTCTGTGAAATTGAGGTAGAAAATAAGCTACTCCATACTTGTAACACATTAATGCTGCTGCTACTCGGAGATACGAAGTTCTGTTAAATTTCTTTCTTGAGTGATGGATATCTTCTCATGCCTGCTTTCCTCTCTTCAAGCTGAAAGGATCCTTTGATGTTTTTGGTTTCGGAGGCTATCTGGCCCTTGAGAATTGCCATCACCATATCTAATGTTGATAATTATATAGCATTTACTTGGTGCCACGCTCCCGTGGTCTCACCAAGCACAACTGATCAATGGACAGGCTGTGCCTTGACCAGGCCAGCGGATTTTTTCCAGGCTTGGGTCCAGGTCTTGCCCCCCAACCTTAAAAAAAATGTTTTCTTCTAAAATTCAAAAATAATTCGAATTTAATGGATAAATAAATTGAATTTACATGTTTAGAAGAGATAAAATTTAATTCATCTTGTTTCCTATATTATCCTCATTACCTTCATATTATTTCTTTAAATATTTTAAAAAATATAAGAAAAAAAGAAAAAGCTAGATTATTTCTTTAAATATTTTAAAAAATAAAAGAAAAAAAGAAAAAGCTAGATGAGTATTTTATGAAAATTAGTTGCTCTCTGATTTGCTTCTGAAATATTTTTAGAGATGAAATTTAATTAGCAATTCAATTCTTAATATTCAAAAATATTTCAAATAAGAGATTTCATTAAAATATTTCAAATAAGAGATTGCATTTAATTCATATACTTCTATACATGCTGTAAAGGTTTTTTTATTCCTCCCAAACCCAAAAATAGATCTCCTTGAAAAAATTCCAGAAATACAAAAATAATTACCCAAATTTTTTGGGGGGAAATGATTTTTTTCACCCCATACTCAAAAATGGGTTTGGGGAAACACATTTTTTTTCAAGATTTGGAGAGTATTTTTTATTTATTTCTCAAACATATATATATACACGGCAACCTTAAACTTTTTGAAGATCGCACCCACACTTGTAGTAGAGGGATAAATTTGATAAAAAAAATGTTAAACTAGAGGGGCCACGTGTGATTTCTAAAAGGGCCAAACCTTGTAACTAAAAACAATGTTATGGCAACCTTAAACTTTGAGTAATTTACATTTTAGTCTCAGTATTCATTAAAATTATTAATTACACCCTTCGAGCTCAGGTTTATCTCTCTCTTACACACACATTACTCCTTATCGACCCTTTGTTATTTGATTTTCTATCTTATCCCATCACGGCAAAATTAATGTCAAGCCCTTGCTCTCTCATTGTTAATAGATAATTACGAATCTCTCTCTTCAATTTTTTCACAAATGAAATTAAATGAATAATAACAATTAAAAAATTATATATGTTGTGGTTTGTATGTGTTTATTAATTCTCCAAAAAGATGTCAAAAAATGAAATTATTTAAGCTTTAATATATATAGATTTTTAGCTTGACTATTGGATGCTCTAAAAATAAATAGAGATTTTATGTATTTTGATGTGTAACATTTTCCTTTATTATTATTATTATTATTATTATTATTATTTTGAAACTAAAGCTGTATATTAGGGTTTAAGAATCTCTTAAGTTGTGGTTAATTAATGATCATATAGAATCATATGCAAATTAACAAAATATGTTATTTGCCGTCAATGATGAATTATGAATGTAAAAGTAATATTGTCTAGATTATATTTAGAACAAATTAAAATTAATAAAATCATAAGATTTTAGAGTCAGTATAGTAAAACTTATGTAATTCTAAGTGCTATAATCTATAGTTGAGAAACATAAATTCCTTGCGTATTGATGTATTTAAATTTTAACAAATAATTTTTTCTTCATATATTATAAGATTAACACATAAATTGATTCCCTCTTGACATTAACCATGCAAATAAGAAAGAGAAAAATTTAAACATATGTACCAAGTTAAAAAAATATTATGAAAACTCAAGAAAACTACTTGCTAATTAAACTGGACCAATCCACCTCAAGATCCTTCAAGTTGTTGGGAAAATTATGATGGTAAATGAGTTGAATTATGTATTGTTTTAATCCTTATTACTTTTTAATTAATTTCTTTCTTTTAAAATTTAAAAAATCAAGTAATTAATACACTTGTATTTATTTTAAAAACTGGCACTAATTAAGAGTTTAAATTTGCTCATAAGCATCGAGAAAATAAATATGTTTTATATTTTTAAGATTTATGCTATACCTTTTATTTTAGTTTTATGATTTAATTTTTAAAAATTCAATTTCAATCAATAAAAAACATTAAAACATTGATACCAACTTGAAAAAAAAAAACTTTATAAATCTGGATTAAGCAATTTTAATGAATATGAGATCTATTTTTACTTCTATTTAAACCCAACAAGAAAAACATATATAAAATCAATATGACAATGCACATAAACAAGATTATGATAATATAATTAAATCACCAATGAATCAATTATAAACGAATAATTAATCAAACAAACAGAATTATTTCACCCCGATAATGCAAAGGCATACAGAAATAATAATTGATAATGAAATCATAAATATGCTTGAGGTTTCCCTCTATTTTTATTATCAGTAGAAATTGCTAAGAATACAAAGATAATATATAAGAGAGAGGTCTTAATTACTCTTAGGGTAACCACTATTTCACTCAACGATAATATTGCAATATTGATCTGAACTGTTATATTATTCATAGCTTAAACCATCCATAAATACTAATTACTTAATTAAGTGTTCTTTTTTCCTTCTCCTGCTGCATGAAGTACAATAGCAGGGCATGACAATGCATGGTTATTGTTGAATCTTCTTCTTGGAAGTACCCTTTAGATCTCAACGTCTCCTTGCAGCTGTTTCCCTTTGAGCATTGAAGAAGACAGCTGCTACCGGCAGGTCAAGCTCATTTTCTTCAGCAAATTTCCTCGTGTTAAATTTGTCCCTTGAGGATGGTGTGCTCACTGTTTGTCTTCCTTTCTGCCTGAAAAGAATGTAAACAAACCTGTGGATCCCGATGTTAGGCCTTGGCATCTCATAGCTCACTACTTCCCTTCCTGCAAGAGTGTATATATATATAGATGGTTTATTTTCATCCCCCAAAAAATCATTCACATATATATTATGATGATTTTTCTTTCTAGATTAGGGTGAGGAATCATACCGAATGTGGCATCTGTGGTGCCTGGGATATCAGTTACTATCCTGTAAACATATTGGCCAAATCGATATCAAGTAATGAGCATGTATTTTGCTAAAAATGTATATAAGTGATCTTAACCTTTCTTTTTTCTACTATTTTGGTGCTACGAGCACACCTTTTGCACTCACAAGTTTTACGAAGAAATCTGGAAACTATAGAATCTGCCTTTTTAACTCGATCTACTTTCGGATTGTTACTAAAATTCAATTATTACTATTACTTTTTCACTTTTCTTTTATGGAGATAATTCTTTCCTGGCTTCAGTTCTATATAAAGTGAACAAAATTAGAGGAATTAATATATATATATATATATATACATATACATATACCAGTGTAGGTGCTCCCTCAGGTATGGATCACTAGGTCCTGGAACATCTGGGTCTGTCATGACCTGCAGTCATCAAGGTGTATATATATATATAGCTAGTTAGAATAACATTGATCATGGTATGCATACATACATACATACATCAAAGAAAAATGAAATTCTTGGGCATATCGAGAAGTAACAGGAAATTACAAAACCCTACCAGGGTGAAAAAAGATCTCATATCACCACCATGGACCTCAACTTTAGGTTTATGAGTGACAGCAGATGGGAAAAGCTCGTGGCCATTATAAACCTGCTTGTTGGAGTTATAAGTGACAGTCATTTTCACATTTGGAGTGAAATAATCAATTACATCTCCAATCACTCTCCCAACCACAAGAGGATCCGACAGATTTGCCATAACAAGTGTGTGTGTGTATATATATAGCTAGATCAGTGGTAGTTGCAGAGAAAAGGAATTAAGTAGCGAAGAGAGTAGTAACTAAGCAAATAACAATAACAATAATAATATGACTCTATTTTCTTCAGCTTTGGAAGGACTCGTGCTGGGGATTGAGGGTGGGAGCCTCTCATACTTATAGTGCTCAGATGTATCTGTCATGCTGCTTTGGATCCATGGAAACTCGTGAGCCTCAAGGGAGGTGGGGTTATAACGAAAAAAATAGAAAGTGGGACATCAAGAAAAATGGTACGTACTAAAGCTTCGTTTGTCCACGTGATAAAGAATATATTTTTTCAAGCCTTTAAAACAAGCTAAGCATTAGCATAAGGGCGGTAAAGCTAGGGCAAGGAAAAATAAAATAAAATAAAATCTTAGCGAATGTGCGGTAGACCATTACTTGCAACAAATTAAGGTACAATTAAGACTCCTATATATCCATAATTGATAGATAATCGAGGAACATCATTAATTCACTGCAGCAGCAGAAATCCATGATCTGGTCTATGTAATTATTAGGAGATACTTTGAGGATAAAATCTAATTAATTATTTACTAACTAGGGCTTTAGGCAGCTGATCATGGTTTCTTTGCCCCCTCTTTTTCGACTCCAGCATACAGTAAATTTGCTAGGGACCATTTGGCCTCTATGTATAGATATTAACTTTACTAACTATTAATTACAACTAATTAATTTCTGGAGGATATATATATATTTCAAAGCTCCAAAACTAACTAGTTCAAATAGTTTAATTAATTATTTATCAACCAATCTAGATTAATCAATGTAATTAATTCAGAAACAAAGACGGTACTCAATACATACAGAAATAACTCATGACTTGATTTTACCCATCTATAAGACTAGATGAAGCCACTGAAGCAATAAATTAATTGAATTATTCTTTCATAAAAGAAGATAATTGGATTATTTAATATTTTAATTTATGACTCTTTGAATCTATAAATTAATTACGCACTCGCATTGATCCTTGATTAGCCAAAAACCAATATATAGATAATCAAGTAATAATATTCTTCCAAATTAACAACTCTGCTACATGTGATTATTATATTTCTGTGTGCATGGCGGAGTTGGAGAGTTTAAAGTGTGATGTAGGTATCCACTGAAGCAACTCCCACTCTTTTTATGGTTTTTTTTTTGCTTTTTTTTTTTTTGAACTTAGAAGAAGACAGATAGAATTTATTAAGCAGATCCTGCTAAGACATTCTCAAGCTAGGAAATACTTGTAATCTTTTATATTAAAGATAAAATTCCTGAGATGGGTGTTGCTAGAACCTTTCCAAGATTTGCCATCACTTATGAGTTTGCTTACCCTATTTGGACGTATTTTTTTGTTTTTTAATGAAGGTTTAGCGCATAAAGGAACTCCACCATGCATGAGCCTGTAACGAAGACTGCTAGTGCTTTGGGGTCATTTCATGTAAAGAGATTCATTGTTGGGGTCCTTCTTTTTTTGTTTCTAAACAAAGTAAGTTGAAGTTGGATTGCCCTAAATGGAAGCTCAAGCATTCATCTTTTTCTTCATATTCCACACTCTTACCGTTTTTTCCCACCATCCTTTTCTTCTCTCCTTCTTCTTCCTCTGCCACCATGCATTCTTTCTTTTTTCCAGGTTTTGTGCCACTTGTAGTAGCTAGCTAGGTCTCACATTGTTCAAAAAGCCTATTCATGCTTTTAGAATCATGGGTTCTCATGGTGTCCAAGTGGAGGCTTCGTGATCAATTATACGATGACCAGTACTACTGTCATTTTATTTGATAACCTAACATGCAAGCATTCAATGGGAATTTGTTTTAAATATATTTATCACTCCTGGCAAGACGTCTCGATCCACTATTTAGTACGAAAAAAACATGTAAGAAATAATTGCCTATAAAATATTTTTAAGAAATAAGAACAATAAAAAAAGAAATTAATCAAATGATGCTGTGTGACTAATAAACCCACAAAATATTCCCACAAATGACTAAGATTTGGTCTAATGAAAGTCTCGTGTTTAAGTATTAATTATAGCCTTAAATAGCTTGTGAATTTCTTGAATTTTGTTCACCATCCAATCTAAGATTTTTTCTCTTTCAAAAACATAAAATAAAATAAAGGTAATTTAGCTTTCATCGGGACCTAGCACATTAACTGTCTCTAAAAAATTAAAATTAATTATGCAAACGAATGGTTTCTTCTTCATATTTCCACCTAATTAATGAAGGTTTTGAGAAATCCATAATTAATATTGACCATTAATTATAAACCCAAGGTGGGGGAAAAGAATCAGTGATTTAATCCAGATAAAACTGGAGTTGAATCATCTCATTATAAAACTCTAGAATAATGTTGAGAAGCTGAAATTATACATTGATGTTATTTTATATGTTTATTATTAATGATTTATATATTTTTTACAATATTTTAAGTTGGAGACAAAAAAAAAACAAAAACATATTTATTTAAAGAAATAAAAACACACATATAAAAATAAATAATTACTTTAATAATTTTAGAGTGTTTTTATATGTTCAGTATAATATTTGTATTATTTAATTCAACCCAACTCATTATAATTAGATAATATAAATATTATAAATGCTAGTTGATAAAAATAAATAAATAAATAAATATCATAAATTAAGTTAAGATTGAAAATTTTAAAACCCGCTTAACTTGATCTAACTTGTATAACCTAATATAAATAAATAACACAAATCCTTAATATAAATATTAATTTTTCTTTTCAATTTTTCTTTTTCTTTTTTTTCATTTTCACACTTATAGTCGTCTCTCATTTTTTTAATCTCTTTCCC